TTTAGCATTTATGTTTAAATTTTACTTACAATATACAGATAATCATTTTCTTTTTTGCTATTTACTCATTATTTTCAAATAAAAAAACAGTTTCTATAAAGAAATAATCTATAATTTTTGCTGTTTTGCTGGCTCATGTCATCAATAAGATTTAGTAAACTAGGTGCCAACCTTCAGTCAAGACTCGAAAGCAATACTTAAAATATCAGTATGCACATGAGCTGGCATGAATGTTTTAAAATGGTAGAAATAAAAATGATTAAAATTTGACTGAGATTCAGTAAGTCTGGAGTGCATCCTAGGATTTCGCATTCTTAACACACGCCCCTGGTAATTCTGAATTTGTCCGTAGAACATATACTGAGAACCACTCATTTCAAACTTCTATTGTTAAGTTAAAATGAAATTATTCTATTTCCCAGAAGGCTGCTCTCATGTAAACGTGTTTTCTATTTTATTTAGATAATGGGTATTTCTACAATGTATCACGACCTTCAAGGAGTTCAAGGAGGACAGTGCATATAAAACCAAACTGAAGAAAGACCCCACTCTCATTCCCAAGGCACTGGTGCAGTGTCTCGGAAAACAGATACAGAAATTCTTGATACAGTCCATTCTCATCTTCTAATTTAGAGAGGATGAGGTAAAATGAGACTCCCAAAAAGAAAGTACACGACGCTACAAACTGAAAGCCTGGCTGCTGACGGATTATGCTCTCTCCGCTGGCTTTATCATAATGATTAGCATTCACTCCAATGTGGGATGACTTGCCTGAAGTGGCAAGTAACCCCCATAAAATGAAAGGAAAAAGGCCAGAAGTGAAGGAGGATTGAGGGAGAAATGATGACATTCTAGCTCGGACCAGGTGGTAGGCAGAATAATAACAGCCCCTCCCCTAGAGCCTGTAAATACATTACCTTATGTGGCAAAAGAGACTTTGCCAATGTGATTAAGGGTGAGTCTTTAAAAATGAAAAACCTTGGGCCAGCCCAGTGGCACAGTGGATAAGTTCACACGTTCTGCTTAGGCGGCACAGGGTGCGCTGGTTCGGATCCCAGGTGGAGACCTATGCACCGCTTGTCAGGCCATGCTGTGGCAGGCATCCCACATATAAAGTAGAGGAAGATGGACATGGATGTTAGCTCAGGGCCAGTCTTCCTCAGCAAAAAAGAGAGGAGGTTTGGTGGTAGATCTTAGCTCAGGGCTAATCTTCCTCAAAACAAGAGAAGAAAGAAAAAGAAAAACCTTTCCTGGCTGTAGTTAGAGAAAGAAATGAGATGACAGAAGCAGGTCAGGTCAGGGAGACACTACATTGCTGGCTTTGAAAATGGATAAAGAGGACCATGAACCAAGGAATGGAAGCAGTCTCTAGAAGCTGGAAAAGACAAGGATATGGCCCTGCTGACATATTTTATGATTGTAGTCTTTTGAGACTTGTGTCAGACTTGTGACCTATAGAACTATAAGGTGATATATTTGTGTTTCTTTAAGCCACGAAGTTTGTAACAATTTATGGTAGCAACAGAAAACTAATACAAGCCTCATTCTAGTGCCAACACTAGCTTCTATACAAAGGCTGAAAGATAAATGGCAGGTACATATGATAGAAAACCTACAAGGTTTTTCTTTCGTTCAGTTTCTCTCCAACATGGCTGGTTCATGCCAACGATGAAGAGCGCTTCCTGAAACACAAGGGGGAATTTTCTAAATGGAAAGAGGATTCAACTTTGTGAGCTCAAGTTCCAGTAACAATTCTAGATCTAGATACACTGTACACACGAACTGAAGACCAGAGTAGACACAACATCAGAATCACAAAAGCTGAGACACGGAGCAATGCCTTAATAACAAAGAATAATGATGCAGAGACAATATTCTCCTGCTCACACTGCCCACGTCCTCTTGGAGACTGACCATGCGTGATGGGCTGAATTGTGTCCCCCTCGACTCCTATGCTGAAGTCCTAATCCTAGTACCTCAGAATATGACTGTATTTGGAGACAGGGTCCTTAAAAACGCAATTAAGTTAAATGAGGTCATTAGGGTGGAACCTAATCTAATCTAACTAGTGTTCTTATAAGAAAAAATTAGGACACAGATACACACAGAGGAAAGACCACGTAAAGACACCAGAGGAAGACAATTCAAGGAGAGAGACCTTAGAAGAAAGTAACCTGGTTGACACCTTGATCTTGGACCTGCAGCCTTCAGAACTGTGAGAAAATCAACTTCTATTGGTTCAGCCACTCAGTGTGTGGTACTGTCATGGCAGCTCTAGCAGACGAATACACCATGTAACAGATGAAGCAGCCTCTAAACTCAATAATACCCAGACAAGCAAGGAGGGGACACAAAGAACATCCACTCCCATTTTTAGTCAAACAGCAAGCTTTGATATTGGGTCACTTATTTAACAAAAATAGGCAAATAATAAATGTAACTTCTATGAAAAGATTTTGCAACAACAGAAAAAAAGAAGAAGTTAAATATAGTATGCTCTTAAGAAACAATTTTAGAAAATTTACCTCAGGTACAGAAATAAATTCTATACAGCAACTGCTTCACAAGTACATTAAAGAAAATGTGGACTGTGAAATAATAGATAAAAGGTAAGATGAAACACAAACATTCCACCTAAATTAACGCTTTGCATTATTAACTTAAAGAATAAGAGTATTTTTTAGCCGAGCACTTCTGTGGCTCAGTTTCAGTGCCTTTGTTCTTTAAACTTCTTTAGTTGAAAGCTACAGAGATGTAGAAGTCAGAAAGTGTGACTTTACAGCAAGTGAAGATTGTCTTGTTAATCAGCTGCTAATTCCACCTCTATTTCCATTACCACTCAGTATAGCTATTTATGATAAAAAAAGGGAACATTTGTAAATTGTAAAAAAGAGGACGACTTTTCATTAAACTTTGCTAGGTTATTCTGGATAAGAAACTAAGCGTTAGTATCAATTCATTTTTATTTTTATTATGAAGTGTAAAACTGGACAGAGAGTCACAAAAGTGATGAGATTAAAAATTATCACTACAGGACAGTTTTGACTAATAGCAGTTTTCCACATGTGAAAGTAGAAATATAAAGTGGCAACACAAATACTCCATTACATTTTACACAAACCAACTGAGTCACTAACATTCTACTCTACTGAAATAAGTTTCCTTTCTTGTCTTCTCAGTAAAGCAGCAGTGTAAGAATAAATTAAAAAGTAAAATGTCAGAATAAACAAAATAAGAACATTAAGAGTTGCCAACTTAATGTTTGTCTAACTCAATTAAAGCTACCTAATGGGAATTAGAGTTTCAGAAAGGCTCTCTCAAGCTAAAAAGATATTCTCCACTGACCTGTCAAAATTCCACGAGTCACTTAATTTTTTTCCTAATATTTCCAAAAGTCCATTGGCGGTAAGCAAAAATCTTTAGAAATAACACATAGCATTTTAACAACAGATTCATTTTCTAATTTAGCAGCTCGAAAAACTTGGAAGTGTACTGAGTACCAGGCACGCTTAATGGGAAAAGAACAAACAAAGCTAGATCTACAGCAGGGCAAAGCAAGAAATTTGATGAAAGACAGGCAGATGTGGGTTCTGCAGGCTGAGGGACAGAAATGGAATATCATAAAAGCAGTGAATACCAAAAGACAAAGGAATACTCAATGGAGATAATGTGAGAAAATTCAAGGCCAATTTGACAATTTTGAGATCCACCCTCACGGAATCAAGAATTTCACGTAACTAACACAATCTATCAGCGCAGAAGTCCCAGTGTTATCGTTTCACTACTGCACAACCTTCTCTAGGTCCACGTTATACTGACAATCTCAATAAAAGGCCCAAGTTTAAAACTCAATTCTTCAGTTTCTGCAGGCCTGTTTCATCACTCTTTACTCTTCTTCCTCTCTTCCTAGAATTTGTAAGATGTTATACAGATTTCATGATTTTTAAACTTTAATTTCAATGCAATTTACCACAGAAGAATGTTTTAAAATATATGAAAAAATAAAGAGGAAATCTTAATGTCCAATGTATATACCCAATTTGGGGATATTTGTTTTAAGAGGTCAGCTTTGATCATTTCTAGGTCATTTCTATTGTTATTAGGAAAAAAAGCCAGATAAGCAATGTATTTTTATTAAAACATATCCTTTATAAAAGTTAAATGCGCATTCATGTATATAGGAAGTTAAATATTATAACTTTTTACAAGTTAAAGAATATAAAAACTGTTCAAGTTACTATTATAACGTATTATTAGCAGGTCAAAAGTTATGTCTTAAATTGCTTTAGAAGGGAACAAAGAAAATAACTATAAAAAGTGTACACACTTGTTTAAATTATCAAGGTCTTTTTTGATGATGAATCTATTCTGAGCCTAAGTCTGAAATTTGTATGTAACTTTTAAAAAGTCTATCCTTAACTGATCATTATCTTTCCTCTCTATTTCAGAAAATTCAGCCTTTAATTTCTAGTACCTATCACCCAAAACTAATCCTAAACATTACAAATAAAGGATGAGCAAAAAATTTTCTACTTGATATACGACTTTGAGATTCTAAAATTTAGATGCAGGAATGAGAAATGCTAAACTCCAAATCATCTACCTCAGGTTCAAGACAGATTTTTAGAACAAGAAGATTTCAGGCTGATTAAACTTAAGTCCTTTGGGATTAGCTCCTATGTAGTATGAAAAAAATAATTAAAAAAAAGAAACCATAATATCCTAAAGTAAAACATATAGTCTATTGAATAATGGTATAAACACGCATGAAAGGATAATAGAATCCTAAACAAGCTGGTAAAAGATTAATCATATTATAGAGAAGGGAAAAGGGACAGAGAAAATAGTTTTCTTACAAGAATTGGAGGACAGGTTTGAGGAGGGAGGGAGAATCAGACAGAAAAGTATGAATTTCATAAAGTTCTGGAATAAGCTCAAAATGCGAGAATTGGTTCTACTCTTTAAGGTAAATAGCTGTCGCATAGACTTGAATTGTTTACCTCATTTTCCGTTCCCACATCCAGAATGATAGGCAGACATTCTTGAGGATTCATCCCGCCACAAGCTGTGTACAGAGCCAGTTTACCCACAGGGATGCCCATTCCATTACAGCCAAGGTCCCCCAAGCCAAGAATGCGCTCTCCATCCGTCACCACAATAGCCTAGAAGAAACAGAAAAGACATCTATTAATAGATGCTCACAAATCCTAGGGCACAGTTCCTGGTCTTTATTCCTGCAGATAATACTTACGATAATGAAATATTAAGCTGTCAAAAAACATAATTGAATATACATGAAAAAGATTTTACGTGATTTTAAGTGTCTAAGAGTAGGGAGAATAAATACATTTGAAATATATTTTTTATATTTTGTTAAAAATACATATATATGATTAATTTGGTTGTTGAAAAAAGAAGAGAGGGGAGCCAGCCCGGTGGTGTGGTGGTGAAGTTCTCACGCTTCACTTCGGCAGCCCAGGGTTCACAGGTTCAGATCCCCCGTGTGGACCTACACGCTGCTCATCAAGCTATGCTGTGGTTGGGTCCCATGCACAAGATAAAGGAAGACTGACACAGATGCTAGACCTGGGACAATCTTCCTCAACAAAAAAAGAAAAAAGAGAGATTATTCACATAAAGATTCAAACAACCCAAATAACTCCGTCTTCAATCAAGAGGAGCAGTGGGAAGAGTACAGAGAAATAAGAGCTCAAACTGGGAACTAAAGTGAAACAGGGCAGCATGAAAACTAGTCACATCCACTTTGAGGACAATTACAGGAGTGTCCATAGTTAAGTAACGTGAAGCACAATTTATTAGATTTTCTACCAACTACTACACCAGTTATATCCATGCAGCCTTGGAAAAACGTTAGGTATTCGACCTTGGATAAACTGATGAATTAAAGCTTCTGTTTCTTCTTTGTAAAATGGGAATAATAAGTGCACTTTTGAGAGCAGCTACATAAATTAGGAACCGACTGCTTTGCTCTTTACTGTACACCAGCACGCAGCACAGCACATAGTAAACAATCAATAAACATTAGTTAATTGAATAAATCTATGATTCAATAAAATGAGATCACAACATACAAAGAACTTACCACAGTACCTGGTACATTACAAAATCTCAAAAAAATGTAGCTGTTAATGCTATTATTATCACCAGGACAAACGTACAGAGGCATAGCATTTTAGAAGTAAAGGGGAATTTAGAGCACACTCAGTCCATCCCTCTTATTCTAGATTAGGAAACTAAAGGTCAGAGATCTGAAATAATTTGCCCAAGGTGGGTTATCTGGTTAATATCAAAGAACAAGAACTCGGGTGTGTTAGCTCCCAGGACAGTGTTTTTCCAGCATGCTACACTGCGGCACATATTTAAAAATACACTTTGAGTCTTTTCATTTAATTTTCTGTTCACCTATATTATGCAGCTCTCAAAGAACTGCCTTAAAAGTAAACACATTTGAGAGGTGGGTGAAAATTATCTTTGCATATTCCAGAGAGCTGATAAATTTTCCATGTCCAATTGAAAAGGGTCAATATGTTATGCTGTCTCAGAGGAGGCAACTTGATACCATTGGGTTAGTTAGCTCTGATTTAACCTAAGAAAGACAACCAAATACTGCAGAAAACTGCAACTTTAGTTTTTAAATTAAATTAAAGCCAAATTTTCAAAGTCAAAATACTTCAAACTTATTTTTAATAGATTTTTTTTATTTATAATAATAAATAAATAAATAAATAATAATACTGCAATAGAGGAACTTGTATATACATCACTGATCATATACACTTTTGTGAATGTGTTTCTTGAAGAAGTAAAGTCCAATTGGCCTGCATACACTTTTAAATACGTTTATGAGCTATTTTATAAGGAGAGGAACATTGTCATATAACTTAGTTGTGATCTAAATAATAATCTATATAATGCTTTCTGGGTTTCATTAAAGATAATGAAACCCAGAGAGTTGCTACTTGTAATTCTCATCAGTTTCAATTTTGTTTTGAAAAAGGGGGTTAAAAGAACACAGCATTTTCATGGGTCTGGTCCCGTGGCCTAGGGCTTAAGTTCGGTGCACTTCGCTGTGGTGGCAGCCCACATACGAAACAGAGGAAGACTGGCATAGATCTTAGCTTAGAGTGAATCTTCCTCAAGCACAAAGAGGAAGATTGGCAATAGATGCTAGTTCAGAGTGAATCTTCCTCAGCAAAAAAAAAAAAAAAAAAACCCATAGCATTTTCATTTATTTTTGATAGCACATCTAAGTCAAACTAAATATATGTCTTGAATACAAAGTCTAGGAAAAGCATTGTTCTTTTTCATTTCTTCATAAGCTTTATTCCCTAAGCTCTTCTCTCATCCCGTGCTATCAATTTAATTATATAAATATACCATAGACATTTATATAGGTGGTAGTTATTTGAGTAATTTTTAAACTACATTTTGAGGCAGTTGATATTTTAGCTCAGTTTATGCCTTATTACAAATATACATTTTAGCATTAATTCACAAACATTTCAACATTAAAGAGTGAATTTTAATAGTAAAGGAATTCTCTGAAATAAAAAAAATGTGTGATATATGCAATTTATCACTAAATTAACACACTCTTGCTTTTGTTTTTACCTACTTTATCTCCTGCTTAAGAAAAATAAAGCAGCTAGATGTTTTCTGCATAATAAAGCCACAACAGGAGGATTATCCCAGCAAGATAACCCAAGTTGTATCAACGATGTCTGTGTTTCAGAAATTAAATCCCCATCCTACTTTGTCAATTACTATCTCGGCATTACCTGAATATAAACTTTGTGTGTGAAATACGCAGGTGTTCCCCTGAATGCGCACAGACTCTCACTACGTATCCTGTCTTCATTCCGTCTTTTCCTTTCCTGGGGCCTGTGCTCCTGTTGTAGACTTCCTGGATACAGAACTCCTGCCTCTTTTTCTTCTCTCTCTGCTGAAACTTCCTCAAATATTACTTATGTAAAGTCATTCCCCTGTTTAAATATTACATCCTACTTTTTCAAGTCTAAATCCCTCTTTCTGAATTTCAAGACCTTTCATAATAATTTGGTCATCTCTTAGACAACCTTAATCTCACTACATTTCAATAAGGACACTTAGCTTTAGTTGGGCCAGCCTTCCTTTTGCACGTGAACACACCCCTCTTGTCCCGAACTTGAGACCTACAACCATATGTTCCCTTCTTGGGACAGTGCCTTCTTCCCTTTCTAACTATCGAAGGCTAGATTTAAGTTCCAACTCTGCTAGAAATATTTCTTAACTGTTCCAGCCTTCTCTGAAGGATATTCAACTCTGACTGGATGAATACGGCACTAATAATTTATACCAGACAGTTTAATTATATTTTCTCTAATAATTGATTGCCTGGTTTGCTTTCAATTACACAACAGAGACTCTTATCTTATTCTTCAATATTCTATTACAGTAAACAGCTGCCATTTATTAAGTGCCTACTATGCACCAAACTCTATGCTAGGCTTTTTCAACAACAGTAGGTATAGTCAGGATCAAGAATATCAGTGAGGGCCCAAAATTAAGGAGTCAAAAGGATATAGGCTACTAATGAAGCTAAATATTCAGATCAGCTAGTAGGAAGAACATGAAGCAAGTGACTGCTTATTGCCCAGCTGTTATGATTAGAAGGATATTAATTAGACCTCTCTACCCCAAAACTATTTCCTATATTGACTCATTCTTAAAATCATCTCTAGTGTCCTGGTTAAAATGTAAGTATCCTTGGGGTTGGCACGGTGGCACAGAGGTTAAGTTTGCATGTTCTGCTTTGGCGGCCCATGGTTCACCGGTTCAGATCCCAGGTGCGGACATGGCACCACTTGGCAAGCCATGCTGTGGCAGGGGTCCCACATATAAAGTAGAGGAAGATGGGCATAGATGTTAGCTCAGGGCCAGTCTTCCTCAGCAAAAAGAGGAGGATTGGCAGCAGATGTTAGCTCAGGGCTAATCTTCCTAAAAAAAAAAAAGTAAGTATCCTTCTTCTTAGAGGATCAGACATTTATATTTCATGGAATTAACACATTTTTAGGGTAACTTCTAAGGACAGGATCTGTGGACACTGCAGTCTACTTGATGGGAGAAAAGGTGAAGGAGCAACTTAGGTGGGCAAAGTGGAAAAACCGGGAAGATTGAAAATAGTGAAAAACACGTTTCTTTACAAGTTTACCTAGCCTGAGCCTTAAAGAGCCAAGTGAATCGATTCTAGCCATAACTGCTCAAACAGAAAAGGTCATTAGGGGAGTCACACTTTGGAAGTCACAGCTGAAGTGCTTTTGTACCACCAAAAGGCATCAATTTGCTCAATCTTAGTCCTAAAAGATATCCCAAAGTTGCTGGGCACCTAACAGAAAGGAAAAGGGAGCCAAGGAGGGATAGGTACATCTCACCGTCCTTAGACAAGGCGGGTGGTAGAACACCATGTTTGACAGCAAGGGCTCTGAGACCCATGTCCAGCTCCCACCACCGCGCACTCACTCGCCTGTGTAGCCCCCTGGGCCTGCTTTTCCTCCCTGAAGTACCAGGATAATACCAGAGGTGATCCAGGTAAAAGTGTCTCACACAGAGAGCTACCAAATGTCACATACCATTCTTATTTTATTTTCATTAGCTCACTCACAGAGGGAAGTCAGATGAGCTACTTACGGTCACAATGATAACAGAAATGAATTAACAGATTTTTTTGCCTACCTGGATTCCTCTTAGTAGTGATTAAACACAAAAGATATGAAAAAGGAGTTTGCCTAAAGAAATTCAGACATTCAGACACTACTTTAACATTTATCATCACTTACAATGAATAAAGAAATACTAAGAAGTTTAATGGAAATAACGGGGAAACAGTATCTAAATAGTCTTAGACTAAAATTGCAGTCGCCCAGCATACCCACAGGTTCTGCAACCACAGGATTCAACCAATGCGGGATAGAAAGGTCCATGATGGTTGCATCTGTACCGAACAGACTTTTGTTCCTTGTCATTTTTCCCTAAACAATACAGTATAATTATCTATGCAGCATTTACATTGTATTCTATATTATAAGTAATCTAGAGATAATTTAAAATAGGGGAGCATGTGCACAGGTTATACACAAATGCTACACCATTTTACATATGGGACTTGAGCATCCAAGGACTTTGGTATCCACGGGGGTCCTGGAATCAATCCCCCCAAGGATACTGAGGGACAGTTGGAATCTACTATGCAAAAATCAAAGGGATATAAATTAGGCGACATTCACTAGGAAAGCTAGTGAATACTACCCAATATCTTGAAAATTGTCAATATGTTACAGGACATGAAAAAGAAGAAATTTGCCATAGTGGAAAAATGTGATAACTTACCTTGATGACATCTTCTGGCCATGCATTAAGAATTGAAGTAATATGCCCGCGATCATGGATACTAATAAAGAGACCTCTGGCAGGAAAAAACGGAGTCGTTTTAGTTTACTTCAGACTTGTCAAACTGTCATGAACATTTAAAAATTGTTTCACCTCAGTTTAATATATCTCCATTTTTATCAAACTAGTGAAAATTATTTCCTTAAATAAGGTATAGGAATCATATAAGTAAAGGAGAAATTACTTTAAACAATATATTGACATCTACAGTAAAGGTAGGTTCATTCTTATATTGCATATTCTTAAGTATTTTTTAATTAAAGAAACATTCACTATTTTTATATACAGAGAATTTAAATAGGATTAGCACTTCCACTCCTGGACTCTGGCGGTCTTTCATTAAATAACATATATAAAAGCACTTTGAACAACAAGATGAAGCATAAGTAAACAAGCATTTTCGGTGCATATTCGACTTATTGCATATTCACAGTGTACAGATAAGAACGTGTACTGAGGGCAGCTGAAGTGAGTGACTAACGCTGAGCAGTCCTTTCATGTGCAACTTACTTGATTCTTTGGTCTGCGGTCTTAGTTGCTGTTTGCAATTCTGTTATTTAGACTCTCAACTGAAGTCTTTAGCACTGCTCTCCCACTGCCCCCCATTTCCCATGAAAGCCTAGCAATTAACTTTAAAAATTAAAATAAAAAAAATTTTTAATGTCTTAACTTCACTTAAAAGTTTTACCTTAGTATTGTTAAATATAACTCAAATACAGAGAACCACATATAACAAATATTCAGCTTAATCAACTGTTTAAGGCAACCACCCTTCCGCATAACATCCATTTCAGCAGAGAGAATCTCGTCAGTTACCCAGATGCCCTCCCTATGTGTTCTCCCAATTGAAACTCCCCCTCTTCTAAGAGTAACCACTATCCTGACTTTCATGGTATCATTTCTTAATTTATAGTTTTATTATCCACACTATAAACCATCCCCAGACACTACAGTTTAATTTACTGGTACAGTTTCCCACAATCTGGATTTTGCTGATTGCATCCCTATGGTATAGATTAACATGTTAATCCTTCCTCTGTATTTCTTGGAAAGTTGGTAACTGAATCTAAAGGCGTCATCAGATTCATTTTTTACAGACATTCATGGTTTGGTGGTATCAGAAGATGCATAATATCTTGCAGTCCTTTTTGTGATTTTAGCAGCTTCTGATGCTTAATATCTAAATTCATTAATTCATTAGGGGTTACAAAATGGTGATATTTCAATTCTATCAATCATTGTCTATTTATTTGCTGGAATGCCTCTTTAAAGAGAAATTTTACCACATTTGTTCTTTGATTACTCAATCTAAAGTTGATATAAGAAAATGATAAATGCTTGATTCTTTCTCTTACTTATCAGTTTTTAAAATAGCTCATTTGCTAAAATCTTTCAAGAGTTTCCACTAAGTTTTGTGTGTGTGTGTGTGCGCGCGTGTGTGTTTTGGATCAATATGAACTCATGGATTTCCACATATTTGATGTGTTCTAATCATCACAGTTATTTTCTTTTATTGACACTCAAACTGTCCAATATTTGGCCAGTGGAAGACTCTTCATGTTGGCCCCTCAGTCCTTTTGACATGACTATAGTAGTTATAATAGTTTTTGACAGCTTCCTTTTTCTCTGTTATGACAAGATGTTCCATTTTGTCTTGAAAATGTCTGCCCCAAACCTGAAATGAGCCTGCTTTCTTTTAGTAGAAAGTGTCATCTCAATACCACAATCTAAATAATAGGGAACCTTACTACTACTATTTGGTCAAAGTACTGTTATAAAAAAATCACAAAACAATGTTGATAAGATTCACTTCCTAATCATAGCCAAAAATCTCAAATTGGCACTCTTCTCTTATAAAGTTTACCACTATGATTTCCTAGCAAATTCAACTTAGCGCTTTCTGAGAGGACCATTCACACGTTCTCTTTTCTCCTCACGTCTCCTACACCTATCTCCCTCTCACTCTCAGTTGATAACCAAATCTCAAATTTCAAACAGAAATAGATACAAGTGGGTAAAAAATACCTCATCTTTCTAATATAAACCGAACCCATCTGCATCTTTTTTTTTTATTGAGTTATTGATAGGTTACAATCTTGTGAAATTTCAATTGTACATTAATGTTTGTCAGTCATGTTGTAGGTGCACCATTTCACCCTTTGTGCCCACCACCCCACCCCACCTTTCCCCTGGTATCCACTAAACTGTTCTTAGTCCATAATTTTAAATTCCTCATATGAGTGGAGTCATACACAGATTGTCCTTCTCTCGCTGGCTTATTTCACTTAACATAATTCTCTCAAGGTCCATCCATGTTGTTGCAAATGGAATGATTTTGTTCTGTTTTGCAGCTGAGTAGTATTCCATTGTATATATGTACCACATCTTCTTTATCCATTCGTCTGTTGCTGGACACTTAGGTTGCTTCCACGTCTTGGCTATTGTAAACAGTGCTGCAATAAACATTGGGGTGCATAGGACTTTTGGAATTGCTGACTTCAAGCTCTTTGGATAAATACCCAGTAGTGGGATGGCTGGATCATATGGTAGTTCTATTTTTAATTTTTTGAGGAATCTCCATACTGTTTTCCATAGTGGCTGCACCAGTTTGCATTCCCACCAGCAGTGTATGAGGGTTCCTTTTTCTCCACAACCTATCCAACATTTGTTGCTATTAGTTTTAGATATTTTTGTCATTCTAACGGGTGTAAGGTGATATCTTAGTGTAGTTTTGATTTGCATTTCCCTGATGATCAGCGATGATGAGCATCTTTTCATGTGCCTATTGGCCATCAGTATATCTTCTTTGGAGAAATGTCTGTTCATGTCTCCAGCCCATTTTTTGATTGGGTTGTTTAATGTTTTGTTGTTGAGTTGCGAGAGTTCTTTATATATTATGGATATTAAGCCTTTGTCAGATATATAACTTGCAAATATTTTTTCCCAGTTAGTGGGTTGTTTTTTTGTTTCAATCCTGTTTTCATTTGCCTTGAAGAAGCTCTTTAATCTGATGAAGTCCCATTTGTTTATTCTTTCTATTGTTTCCCTTCTCTGAGAAGGCATGGTGTCTGAAAAGATCCTTTTAATACTGATGTCAAAGAGTGTACTGCCTACGTTTTCTTCCAGAAGCCTCATGGTTTCAGGTCTCACCTTTAGGTCTTTGATCCATTTCGAGTTTATTTTGGTGAATGGTGAAAAAGAATGGTCAATTTTCATTCTTTTACATGTGGCTTTCCAGTTTTCCCAGCACCATTTGTTGAAAAGACTTTCTTTTCTCCATTGTATGCCCTCAGCTCCTTTGTCAAAGATAAGCTGTCCATAGATGTGTGGTTTTATTTCTGGGCTTTCAATTCTGTTCCATTGATCTGTGCACCTGTTTTTGTACCAGTACCATGCTGTTTTGATTACTGTAGCTTTGTAGTATGTTTTGAAGTCAGGGATTGTGATGCCTCCCATTTTGTTCTTTTTTCTCAGGATTGCTTTAAAAATTCGGGGTCTTTTGTTGCCCCATATGAATTTAGGATTCTTTGTTCTAATTCTGTAAAGAATGTCATTGGGATTCTGATTGGGATGGCGTTGAATCTGTAGATTGCTTTAGGTAGAACAGACATTTTAACTATGTTTATTCTTCCAATCCATGTACATGGAATGTCTTTCCATCTCCTTATGTCATCATCCAATTCTCTCAGAGAGGCCTTGTAATTTTCATTATATAAGTCCTTCACTTCCTTAGTTAAGTTTACCCCAAGGTATTTTATTCTTTTTGTTGCGATTGTGAATGGTATTGTATTCTTGAGTTCTTTTTCTGTTGGTTCATTACTGGAGTATAGAAATGCTACTGATTTATGCAAATTGATTTTATGCCCTGCAACTTTGCTGTAGTTGTTGATTACTTCTAACAGTTTTCCAATGGATTCTTTGGGGTTTTCTATATATAAGATCATGTCGTCTGCAAACAGCAAGAGTTTCACTTCTTCCCTCCCTATTTGGATTCCTTTTATTCCTTTTTCTTGTCTGATTGCTCTGGCCAGGACCTCCAGTACTATGTTGAATAAGAGTGGTGATAGAGGGAATCCTTGTCTCGTTCCTGTTTTCAGGGGGATGGCGCTCAGTTTTTGCCCATTGAGTATGATGTTGGCTGTGGGTTTGTCGTATATGGCCTTTATTATGTTGAGGTAGTTTCCTTCTATGCCCATTTTGTTCAGAGTTTTTATCATAAATGGCTGTTGGATCTTGCCAAATGCCTTCTCTGCATCTATTGAGATGATCATGTGGTTTTTATTCCTCAGTTTGTTGATGTGGTGTATCACTTTGATTGATTTGCAGATGTTGAACCATCCCTGTGTCCCTGGTATGAATCCCACCTGATCCTGATGTATGATTCTTTTGATGAATTGCTGAATTCTGGTTGCCAAAATTTTGTTTAGAATTTTTGCATCTATGTTCATCAGTGATATTGGCCTGTAGTTCTCTTTTTTCGTGGTGTCCTTGTCTGGTTTTGGTATCAGCGTGATGTTGGCCTCATAGAATGTGTTAGGAAGTGTTCCATCTTCCCTAATTTTTTGGAATAGCTTGAAAAGGATAGGTATTAAATCCTCTCTGAAAGTTTGGTAGAATTCCCCAGGAAAGCCATCTGGTCCTGGGGTTTTATTCTTTGGGATGTTTTTGATTGCTGTTTCAATCTCTTTCCTTGTGATTGGTCTGTTCAAATTGTCTGCCTCTTCTTGAGTGAGCTTTGGGAGATTGTAGGAGTCCAAGAATTTATCCATTTCCTCTAGGTTATCCATTCTGTTGGCATACAGTTTTTTGTAGTATTCTCTTATAATCTGTTGTATTTCTGCAGAGTCTGTTGTTATTTCTCCTCGCTCATTTCTGATTTTGTTTATTTGCGCTTTCTCCCTTTTTTTCTTTGTAAGTCTGGCTAGTGGTTTGTCAATTTTATTTATCTTCTCAAAAAACCAGCTCTTTGTCTCATTGATCCTTTCTACTGCCTTTTTCGTTTAAATAGTATTTATT